AAGAAGAAGAAGAAGAAGAAGAAGAAGAAGAAGAAGAAGAAGAAGAAGAAGAAGAAGAAGAAGAAGAAGAAGAAGAAGAAGAAGAAGAAGAAGAATTATCATTATTTAAGGTTGGTTGTATTATCTGCCATGAACATACCAGACCAAAAGATTCTGGATGTTTTTTTTTGTTGATGATGATCATTGTATAAAGGTGGATGAAACTCTCCACAGAAGTGTTGATGATCAAAGTTTATACCAATCATGATGGTGTTCAAGTTTGCTATTGGTGTACTCTCCTAATCATGGAGAAAGGAAGGAGAAATCTCGCGGGGGTCTTGCAAGATGAGAGAATCACAATCTCTCAACAAAGTTATAAAAGGTATGCTCAAGGCTTATTGGATAAATTTTATATGCTTCAATATAATCCAGTAAGTACTCCTATGGAGTTTGGATTAAAGTTATCTAAGGAGAATAGAGATAAGGAAATAGACTCTAGCCTTTTACAGAAGCATGGTTGGCAGCCTAATATATTTGACTGCTACAAGGCCTAACATAGCCTTTTAGTAAGCCTAATTAGAAGATTTATGGAGTTACCCAAGTCAAGTCATTGGGAAGTGGTGAAAAGGTTTCTTAAAGTATGTGAAAGGTACTATAGATCATGGTATTGTCTATACCAAGGATATAGTGACCGTGACTTTGAAGTTCAACTATGAATGATGAAAATAAAATACAGCAGAGTATCTTTTTTTTTTAAGTTTAGGATATGGGTTGGTGGTATGCATGCTGCGGCTGGGATCTTAACAGCGAGAGGAGGAATGACATCACTTGCAGTGGTGGTGGCTCGTAGATGGGGGAAAATGTTGTGTTTCTGGCTGTGCTGATATTCGTGTGAATGATGATACGAAGATTCTTCTAATTGGAGATAAGGTGATTAAAAAAGGCGAATGACCTTCACTTAATGGTTCCACAGGTGAAGTTATATTGGGTAAACAACCACTCGCTCCACCTGCGATGAGCACTAATATGGAAATATTCATGTCATGGGACAAAGGAACAAATAAGCAGACTGTTTTACCAAAGCTCTTCAACCAAAGCTCTTCAGCTTGGAAACTTCAACACTATGAAGCATCGTTTGAATGTCTATCTATGTCTAACTTAAGGGGGAATGTTAAAATTAAGTTAGACATATGAGAGTTACAATTAAGTTAGTTTCTGTCTGACAGTTAAGATTAGTTATTTCTGGACAGACACATCGTTTGGTAGTAGGCGTATCAGTTAGTGAAAGGTTGTGTCTTTTGGCCTTAAGGGTATGACCCTTGGCTGTATATATATATGTTGGATAATACCCACTGTACAATTGAGTTGTGTTAATAAGAAATTGACTATCATAGCAAACTCCCCTTTTATGTATGTGCAGAAACTGCAGAAAAGTTTATGCAGTTTACTTTTGATCATTTCAAACTTCCTACGCATATTAGATGTGCTTCTGTTTGACTCCAACAAAGCCGAGTCTGTTTCCAATTGAGCAGAATCTAAAACTTGATAGAGCCGAAAAGGAACAGCCATTAAATTTAAAATATAAAAATAAGACCTTTGAAGCCAAGCTTAAATCAATTAGGCACCACTCTTATCGTTGGTTTTGAGATATTTTACTATTAAAAAACGTGTGATATATTGCTTGCTTTTAATTAATACACGATGTATTCGGGGTTTGTCCCCATATTTAAAGAAGAAACAAATGATACCCTCTCGTCATTTTCCAATTTTCTACACGTTCTAGTTATGGCCGCAATGGATACTCTCATCTCCTGTTCTTCCTAAATATCATCTCTTGATCACCATATCTCTCAAGGATGCATTCTATCGGTCATTACCATTTACAGAATCTTTAGCAGTTTCTTCCATCCTTCCAGATTCAATTCTATCTTCTGCATGATGAGGTTTCACCGATCCGTCCGAAAACTGACGGTTGCGATCACGGTACGCCTCAACGGTCCACGTAAGAACTAAAAACACCATTACGATCGATAGAAACACCAGCCCTGCCCACACGATCTTTACGTCTCTCTTTACTGGTTCGCAATGATCCTCGAGGATTTCGGAAAACGCATCCTTAACGGTTTGACAATTCAGTAGGCTTTCCATTCCAGGGTACGAGTTCAGGAGTATCTGAATCGAAGATGTGTAAGCCACGACTGTTTTGAAGTCGATCCCGGAGATTGGAATCCCGCCATTGCAGACTCCGTTGACTGGATCGACGCAGGTGATCAACCGTAATAGCTTCAAGAAAAAAAAAATAGAAAAGGGTAAAGAAAAGACTCCGCAAATTCGATTTTATAGGACGTAAAAAATCTCTAAAGGGTCTACTAAAAAAGTTCATTGAACGTACGCTACAACAAAATCGACTTTACAGGACACTTCTAATTTTTAAGCGTTCTAATAGACCTTTTTATAGGACTTAATTTATAGAACCAAAAAAATAAAGTGTCATATCTAAAGAAGTTGTAATAAGTTTATATGACATTTTTTGACGTAGTAATAAGTTTTTTAGGATACTTTTAATATAATTGTCTCATTAGCAACTTTATAGGACACTATTTGAAAAACTGTTGTAAAAACAAATGTCCTATAAAAAAAATGAGTTTATAGGACACTTTGTCAAAAGTATCCTATAAAGTTGCTAATACGACACTTTCTATTAAAAATGTCCTAAAAACTTGTTAAGACGTCCAAAATCGTCATATAAACTTATTACAACACCTTTAGATAGAACGCTTTATATTTTGGTCTTATAAATGAACTCCTATGAAACGGTCTATTGGGACACTTAGAGATTGGAGGTGTCCTGTAAACTCAATTTTGTTGTAGTAAACATTTTAAAGTTTCAGGTATAGTAACACTTTTACATATGGCGTACAGTTATTTGGTTTTTTTTTATTTAAGTCTATGTATCGTGTACCTCAGGGATGTCGCCAATCCGAATTTGGTTCTCCGTGCAGTTGTCCGGCTGGTAATTATACTCCGGTGGCCCTGTGAAGGGATTGCATACTCCAAAAGACGAATCTTGTTGTATGCGAGATATGTTGGCATTCACCTGCGGTTTTTCCGACCATCTTTTTGTTAGAACATGTAACAACTTCTCGGCACTATCAATTCCGTTAGGATATGTAGAACCCCTTTAAATCTCTTTGTGTTCTAGAAACTTTTTAGGAAGGAAAGAGACTTTATGGAGACGGTTCCTACGCATAAACAGGTTTGATATATAGCCCGTTTTTAATGGACGTGGAACTCCAACATGCCCGGAACTAATAGATGATAAACGTTACCTCGTTCACGAGATCATAAACGCCAGCACTGACATCGTTAAGGACTGATTCGGCTGAGAGCAACTGATCACAAGGAAGGATTGAGCTCAAGCTGTTGTTGTAAGGATCTTGTTGGAATCCTTGGAGCGCTGTGCACGTATCGCCCGCAAATCTGTAGAATTTATAACGATTTCAAGTCGATCGATATACTTCACTTACATTTTGCCAAGCGAAAGGGATGAAAACGAGCTTACCGCGATAAGAAGAAGTACGCCCCGTAGAACACCCAACATAGAACCGTTATTAACCAACACAGGACGATAAACCTGCGTCCGTTACAATTAGGAATCAGCACCATAACTAACATATTTGTTCCTTTTATCTCGTGTGAAAATATGTAGAAACTACTGGAGGGGTGTTTGGAATTGCTTATAGAAAGAACTTATTGACTTATTCCAATGTGGCACTGGTAATAAGCACTTTTGAGTGTTTGGATAAACGGCTTATGCCGGTGCCAAACCGGTAATAAGTTTTTGAAGAAGTTAAATCATTCTAACTTATAATAAGTTGATAAGGACTTTTGTAGAAAAACATAAGTTGTTTCAAAAGATGGGTAACAAGTTTATAGGATACGTTTGGATGTCGTAACAAGTTTTTTAGAATTCTCTAAAATAAAATGGCGTATTAGCTATAATATATGACGTTATTTGAAAAAGTGTCATATAACCATAATTGTCCAATAAAAAGATGGGTTTTAGATGACTGTTTACAGAAACAATCTACAAAATAGCTAATACGATACTTTATTTTAAAAAGATACTAAACAAGATGTCGAAAAATGTCCTATAAACTTATTGTAACACTTTTAGACATGACACTTTATTTTTTGGTTTTATAAAATTAAGTCCTATAAGGCACTCGGTTAGGAAACTTGAACACTTAAGGCGTCTTATAAACCCGATTTTGTTGTAGCCAGGGATAAGACAGAGTCATCTTTCTGAACTTACATATGAAGAGCTCGTCGGATTTTAATGACTCCAACAACTGCAAGACACAAAGAAGCATCGTTAGTCGATATTTGAAATAAAAGCCGAACGAACATATACTTCAATAGGCGTAAACTGCACCTGTTAAGGCGATCACAGCAACCAAATTCAGCGAGAAAATAACGGTACTTACAACGTACCTGCAATCATAAACACGAGCTCAATGTAATCAGACAGTAGAACGATTTATTTGTTAGGTAGTCTAAGGGGCCGTTTACCTAAACACTTACCCGGTAAAGGGGCTTAACGGTAAAATGCTACTCTATCGCTTACTAATCGGGTAAGATTTTAGTCTACCAAAACGACATCGTATTGTAACAATTTACCTGGTAAGCACTAATTGTGGTAAGAGTCGTCGTTATCACTTACCTGGTAAGACTCTCGGTCCATGCCTCACTCTTACCAGGTAAGATTCTTGGTCCTTGCCATATTCATCCGGTAAAAGAATATGACTTGGTACACGCTTACTCGAGTAAGCATATGGTAAACGGCCCCTAACTTTGTCATAACAATGTATTGTAAGTCTTTTATAAAGGTAAGACCAATTAAATACTCTAAAGGCCGTTTACTAAACACTTACTTGGTAAGTGCTTACCGGATAAATTTCTTTATCTGATGAACATGAGAAGGGCTAAGAATCTTACCGGGTAAGAGCAATGAAAAGGGTAGAGAGTCTTGCCCGGTAAGTAAGGATGGCGACTCTTACCCAGGTAAACACTTACCCAATAACTTGTTGCGTTCGATATGTTTTGATGTACTAAAATCTTACGTATCAAAGTAAATTATAATGTTGAATTCTATCTGTAAGCACTTACCGGGTAATCATTTAGGTAAATGGCCCCTTAGTCTACTTCTTTAGGCAGAAAACTTACAGAATACGGAGGCCTAGATCGATCTTATGCCGATTCCTTCTAGCTTGTCGTTGTATATCGTCAGCGGTTGAATCGAGCCGCCTCGAAGTGGACTCAAGGAACCGTGTGGTGCTAGCGTCAACGTTGGTTCCTTGTAGGTTTGTTCGTGTCATCTTCATTGCTCCAGTGGTATTGTATATCGTCTCTGATGCCTCATCGGCTGTATCGATGATGATATCGATTATGGTATCGGCCCTCGAATGGAATTTTGCATTCCCTCCAAGTACTAACCCTGTTCCAACTCTAGAAAACACGATCAATGGGTTCAGTTCCCACAAGGTACAACCCCATGATGCATGAATGAGTTCCATTTTGGCAAGTAATGTACAACCCCACGATGCATCAACGGGTTCGGTTTACAACCCCATGATGCATCAACGGGTTCGGTTTTGGCAAGTAATGTACGACCCCATGATGCATCAACGGGTTCGGTTTTGGCACGTAATGTACAAGTCTGTGATGCATGAAGGAGTTGAAGGCTTACATGGCTAAGAGTGTGAAGAGAGCTGCAAAAATAACGTGCCAAAGGTAATACTGCTTGTGGCTTTGTGGTTTCTTCTTGTGTTTCTTCAGTTTCCTATTTATTTTGCAACAAGTGGTTGCCACAAGGAATATACCAAATACGACGCCGCATAGAAGCCATAAGGCCCCAAGCACATATCCTGCTATTCCTGTATACGCAGTGGACTGCAAAAGGCAACCATGAAAATTATATTATTCTAATCGCTTATTTGAAACAACTTATGTTTGTTTATAAAAACACTTATCAACTTATTATAAATAAGAAGAGATTAACTTCTTCAAAAACTTCTTATTACCGATTTGGCACCGGTATAAGTTATTTATCCAAACATTCAAAAGTGCTTATTACCGGTACCACACCGGAATAAGTCAATAACTTGTTTTTATAAACAATCTCAAACACCCAAAATAAAATAAATTTAGTAATTAATATAAATGGTACCAAAATTTGAAATGATTACTCACACTCCAGTAATGGATATTGGTAATGTCATATCCTCCTCTGTATTTTCTGAGACTTTTCAAAGGATCAGGCCTAACTGTGTCATCTGATACAATAATAAATAAATAAAATGAACTAAAGAAATTATGGAAAAAAAATAGAAATTTTACATTATTAGTATGGTACTAATATCAATACATATTTTTTAAAAATTTATGATATCTTCATATTTATATTTTATTTAAAAATAAAAAAGTTATCGTTTTCTCAAAATCACATACAACTGTATTATAATATCGACCGAGACAAAAAAAAAATTGAAACATTAAAATCAAGATATATCTCGTTGCATTGCACAAATATCTTTTTGGTAAATAAAAATACAAATCACAAACACCCTTTAAATATTTAATTTAAGAAGAAAAAAAAAAAGCAAAAGTGAAGTGACCTGTCTGAGAAGTGGTAGTAGGTTGTCCTTGAATATGAGAAAAGCTTGAGATCAAAAGCAACACCATGACAAACCATAATCTGCTCCATCTCTTTCCCATCCTCTTCTATTATTCTGCAATTTTTTTTTATAAAGTACATCAAGAATTTGATATAAAATTACGAGGGGTGCTGTCTCATTGGTTTGAGCTTGGCTCCAAGGTCAAAAGTACCTATGGGGGTCCCAAGTTCAAATCCAAGGAGCAATAAAAATCCCCTTGTGGCTACGGAGGTTCAAATACGGTGATTCCGGGCTATCTGTAAAACAGGTGGTCGCCTTAGAATTAGTCGGCTCATACAGTGGGTTAGATATCCAGGTTAATTTATATTAATTTTTATATAATATACTTGTAAGTTGTAATATCTTATTTGCTGTTAACTTTTTTTTTATTAAATATAAATATCTACAAAATAAAATAGATTATGCAAAAATGATGTTTTTCATTTCACATGCTTCTTTAAAAAGTTTATTTGCTTTAATTCATTATTAAAATGGTTAAATTTAATTTTTAAGTATCGTTTACCTAAACACATACCCGGTAAACACTTACTCATAAAATTCAACACTATCGCTTACTTATCGGGTAAGATTTTGTTTACTAAAACGCATCGTATACAACAATTTATCCCGGTAAGCGATAACCATGATAAGAGTTGTCGCTCTCACTTACCGGATAAAACTCTTGATTATTCTTTCGTTCTTACGAGGTAAGATTCTTAGTCCTTGTCATATTCATCCGGTAAAGTAATGTGATTTGATGAACGCTTACCCGGGTATTTCAAATATTTAACCACTGTTACAAATAATGTGGAGCTAATAGCATTAATTTAAAAAAAATGTGGTAAAGCAATGAATTTTGAAGCTACAAAAAAATAAAAGGGTAATTATAAAGCCTTCCAACTTTGACAAAATCCTTTGGCTGCTTTTATGTCATAAACATGTAATAAATTCTCATCACAATCATACCAATTATTTCTTGAATGATAATAAAGATGTAGAAATTATTAAACCATACATTAAATAGCAAACTTAACCATAGTTAGTTAAGAAACTAAAGAGAAGCTGCTGACCGATATTTATCACTTAAAAGTATCTCAATCGTTAATAGATGAATCTTGTTTGATAAAAAAAATATATGTTTTACATGATTTTGTATCTTGAGTCTTCGTTAACCATTCAGCGTCCTAATTTTATTTTAAACAAAATATATTTTATCTTACACTATATAATAAGATTATTTTAATCATTATGCGATAAACCATTTAGCAACCGTCAAACAGCCTTTTGGCGAGGATGACCGAAAACAAAGGATTGTGACATAGTGATTGAGGCCATAAGCAACTGTCAAACAGCCTCTCTACGCAGGTTTTTATTCAGGCGTATACAACAATCCGACAGCCATTGAGTTTATCAAGGCTGTGGTCATAATCTGTCGTAACACCCTTCCAAAAAAAGAAAGAGAGAGAGAGAGATGAACTCACCGGAAAAATAAAGTGAACGGAGAAGAAGCTTGCGGTGGTTGACGACTGTACCGTACAATTAACCAGAAGTCTTGTACAAAAGAGACGCCATGAATGATCAAAATCGCAATCACTTTTCTTGTAACGACTGTTTAATTAATTTCCCCCTTTATAGTCGAAAAATGGAAGCTCCAGAATCCCCTTTTCAAAGCATGCGTTCTACCAAGACAAAGATGCATGTGTGTGTATATATATATACATACATATATATATATATTGTATTATATTAAAGATGCATGTGTGTGTGGGTATATATATATATATAATATTAAAGTTATCTAGAAAGATGGAGGCTTAAAGACGTCAAGAAAAGAAAGCAAGGAGGGGTCAAAGATATCAAAATGTCAACAAAATACAAATGTCGAATATGGAACTTGACCCACATTCTGCTTTTGTGATTATATATTGTGTTTATACATATATTGTTTTTTTTAATTATTATTTGAGGGCATCAAGTGTTTTTATATAGAGAAATTTAGGTAATTAGTCATTTTATAATAACTTTTAATTTCTATACGTCTTAAAAATCTATTTACTAATATGAGGGTGGTGCTTGATTGGTTTGAATTTGGCTTCAAAGGTCAAAAGTATCAGGAGGTCTCATGTTTAAATCCAAGGAGGAATAAAAATATCCTTGTGGTTATGGAGGTTCAAATGCGGTGATTCTAGGCTATTTGCAAAGCAGGTGGTCGTCCTGTGATTAGTCGGCTTGCATAGCGGGTTGGATATCCAAGTTAATCAAAAAATCTATTTCCTTAAATAAAATACGTATAAAAAGATTTTCTACATAAAATTTATTTTCAGGTTAAATAAAAGAAAAAAGGATTTTCCGCGTAAAGTTTATTTTTAGGTAAAAATAAATAAGTTAAAAAAGAAGTTTACGTTAAAAAAATGAGATTTTATGCAAAAACGTTATGCATAAAACAAATTTTCTGCATAAAATCCTCTTTTATTTCAATTTTTTTCCTCTAAAAATAAATTTTATGTAGAAAATCCTTATTCTACATAAAGTTTTTTTCTTTTATAAACATTAGGATTGTTTGGCAGTCGCTGAATGATTTGATGCAGAATGATTAAAAGACTCTCATGATATAATGCAAAATGAAATATAATTGTTTAAAATAAAATTAGGACGCTGAATGGTTAAGGGAGACCTAGGATACAAAATCATTCAAATGGTTTAGAACCATTAAGAGACAATTTTTTTTTTTTGCCAAACAAAACCCACCTCTTAATAAAACTATTAATAGGTAAACAAACAACCCATCTGTCTATTTAAAAGATAGCTTTTTAAAACAATTAAAAAATAAAAATTATTTTATAAAATGGTAAATTTTTATTGTGAATCTTTTGATTTCCTAAAAGACCTTGATTTGTCAAACATACTTTTCTATGAAATCGCACCTAATAAATTCATACGTGTACAAAAATGGGGTTTGACAACATGTAAAATTACAAGATGATTTAAAACGTTTATCACTAGCGAATCCCGAGGTGGACCTATTAAGTTTCTAGCAGGTACGGTGTATCTGCTGAACTTATTTTTGTAACTAGATTTTTTAGGGTATAAAATGTAATCTTATTAAACTATGAGGGTTGTTTTTGTAATATTAGAAAGTACAAAGATTATCAAAAAAGAAACCGAAAAAAATCCATAGAAATCATCCAAAAAACTTAAAAACTATCTCGAAATAAACAAAAAACTTAAAGAATCTCTCGGAAATGATAGAGTGCAACTAAAAACACATCGGACGATTTTTATGGACCGTTGATCCACTTTACAGGTGTATCTGGTCATGAAAAATCATGGGTCTGCAACTAAATCAAGAACCTTTGATAATTGGATATACATTAGACGTTAGGATATGACTGTAGACACAGCTGGTTAAGGTTAAGAACTTCTTTTTCATTATCGGTTTCTCCTCGGTGAAGTCATTGGGTGCAACTTCACCCCCCGGCCTCTAAAAACATGGATCGATTTTTTACATGTAGGTGTTTCAGGCCAATGACCTGAACGTAACTCGACAAATTTCACGGGACCCCGAATATAACAACTAGGAAAAGTGAGGCATGCCCTCGTAGGATGATCTGTATTAAGCAAGGCAGTCTAGGTTAGTGGTAAGACTATATAACAAATATATATATATATATATATATATATATATTATAGTAAGGATGTAGTATATATAATTATTACAAAAATCTCCTATTCTAAAATCCTACGTCTCATTCTTGTCCCACCAACGAAATTAAGATGCACTGGAATGGATGAAGAAGGGTATTTTTGTCATTTACATAAATTTGGATGGAATAGATTTTAATTCCATCATATTTACTAAAGAATGGTCAATTCCTCAAATTTGGGAATCCTTGGAATTCAATTCCATTTCATTTGTAACCAAACATTGAAATGGAATTTAGTCAACGTAATTGATTATTCCAATTTCATCAGATTCCAGCAGATTTCGACGAACTAAACACTCTCTCAGTTTATTCAATTCAAGTTCATATTTTTGTTCTAATAATTTATATTCATATGATTGAAGGATAAAAATAATACGTGATAATTTATTACATGAGATTTTTATTCGCTAAGTAAGCTTTTATTTGTCAATACGATGTTGATTGTTTGAAATATATTACTTAATAAAAAAAATTAATAAAAATTACTAATATAATTATAAAACTATTTATTAAAATAACTTTTTATCAACAATATTGAATTTGGGAATTTTCTGATAGCTTATACACGAGGAATAAAATTAAGAGGTCGTTTATCAAACATTTATCCGAGTAAGTACTTATCAAGTTATATTAGTTTGCCGGATGAATATGACAAAGATCAAGAATCTTACACGGTAAGAGCGAAGACAAAGACCAAAAATCTTATCCGGTAAATAAGGACAACGATGTTAGCATTTACCGGGTAAATTGTTGCATACGATACCATTTTGGTGGACTAAAATCTTACTCAGTAAGTAACTGATAATATTAAATTTTACTAGTAAATGCTTATTCGAATAATCATTTAATAAACGACCCGTAACGATATTACAAAATAGACCACTTCTAACTTTAATGATCAAGGAACCAACTACTAACTTCTAACTAAACAGGACCACTTGTGGTTATAAATATACAAAAGGATCCATGATGAATATTTACCCAAATATAATATTTTTTTATATCTATTTGATGTATTTTTATTTTTATTGAGCTATTAACATTCACTACAAAAATAGGAGTATTTTTCTTGCTTGATCTGTTGTTAAAGGCATAATCCGTCGTTGATCGTCCGTCGTTCTAAATCTCGTAGGCAATCCTATCAGCGATGGATCCGAGACGGAATTTAGCGACAGATCATCGACGGATAGTATTTGCAACGGAAATGTTTCAACGACAGATTAGCGACGGAAACTTTCAGCGACATATTAGTGAGGGAAACTTTTAGCTACGGATTAGCAAAACATATACTTTGGCGACGGATTAGCAAGTGACTTAGCGACGGTTAACGAGGGACCAGAAACTTTTAATCCATCGCTAATTTTTAATAATTTAAAAATATATAATTTATAATTACATCATTCCTATATTTATTTATACAAATCCTGATGATAAAATAACAAACCAAAACTTTGAATAAATTAAAATTAACTAATTCATACAATTTAATGTTCAAATTCATACAATCTAAGTACAGGGAGTTGGGGGAGAGGGAAAACATATCCTAAGTGCCGCATAAACGTAGCAAAATGCTCTGATAGAGCGATCTGTTCGGCTAACTGGGCGGCATGTCTAGCCTGTTCGGCTTCCAAATCTGCCCTACTCCTCCGTTCGGCCTCCATCTCGGTCTGATGGCGTTCTTCTCGCATTCATGCTTTCTCCTCTACCCTTGCCGACTTCTCTCGCAAATCGGCTACCTGTAAATATTCAGTATTCGACAAAGCAAGTAATTTGTTCGCAATGAAAGTAATGAGAAAGTATATAACAATATGACCAACATACCTCCGCTGTTGAATTGTATGATCTCTTGGTGCTACTGCTACATTTACCGGTCATGGCATAAGAGGGATTCTGAGGGTTCCAAAACCAAAAAAATGGCTCTTACGCAGCTGCTGAGTTGCCATCCATTGGTGGGTTCGTCCCTACAACTCATGGAATCCTCCGATGGTCTCTGATGTCAAGCTTGTTTTCTAAATGCAAATTGATACAGATTTTGTTAAACTTTAATATTAATATTAATTTGTATTAATAGCCATAAATTGTAATGTATTAATTTCAGATTTGAATTTATAAGATTTTGATTTCAAATGAAATTGGTGTTTTTGGTGATTTTTTTTTATTAACCTGGATATCCAACCCGCTATGTGAGCCGACTAATCCAAGGGCGACCACCTGCTTTGCAGATAACCCGGAGTCACCGCATTTGAACCTCCGTGGCCATAAAAGGATTTTTATTCCTCCTTGAATTTGAATCTGGGACCTCTAGATACTTTTTACCTTTGAAGCCAAACTCAAACCAATCAAACACCACTCTTGTGGTTGTGTTTTTGTTGATTAGAGTTAGAGAAGATGAATATCCAAGAAAAAATGGTATAATTAATTGAGAAAATGGTAAAGTAAAGAAACAAACGTATAAAAACCATAATGCCCTTGACTTTATCAGAAAAATTGGACGGTCATTAGTGTGAAATAACAAATTGCATGTGGAAAGGTTCTTTTGTAATAAATGAAGTTAAAGGACCAAATCCATAAATTTTTGACATACCTTGGGGACCAAATCCATAATCTACTTTATCGCAAATATATATATATATATATATATATATATATATAT